TATCTTGTTGCTCAAACAGATGACCAAGGAAATCCACTAGCAAGAACAACATCAATTCTGTGATTCAATTTCTCTGATAGAAAACATAATACATTGCATCTTAGCCATGGTAACAAGAGAGTAGATGCTGGGAAAGGAGGATCCAATGTCGTTTTTCCATTTTTAGCATCTTTCTAGACTTTAAGCTCAGCCCCTGTGGGACAGAAAGCTGGTTAACTGCTGGTATAGCAGAAAATGGAAAATCAAAGATGTACTTGGAGGGACCTTGACCAACAGTTTGCCAACTTATGTCAGCTTTCCTCAAAAAGGATCACTGATTTATTTATTATTTTTTTACATCTACTTAGAATCTCCAAGTTGAGCAACACTTGCAGAAAATCATTGAGAATGTAGGTCTCAAATTCTTCTCAAATTTATAATGCTAAACCAGAAGCACTTACCATGTGGAACAACTTTAAAACTACTGAGCATACCTTGCTATACCTCAGCCTACTCAGCACTCTCAATATGGTTGAAAATGTAATTAATTGATGTTGAGAGAGGTCTTAAAATCTTTAAAGGGAAGATAGAGCACTCAAGAAAAGCATGATTAGTACACTTGAAACCAAAAACTAGCACAAAGATACTACTATGTCATGATGAGCTGAACACAGCAGGACAGGTAAAGGTAAGAAAGGGAGAAGAGATAAAATGAGTCTGTCTGACGTTTCCTTTGCAGAGGAGACATTTTCAGCTCAGAATCCCAAGCTCTGGTGCAAAACAGTCACGTAGTCTCTCATCTAAAAGTAACACAACTCATTTCTAATCCTTATGGCTACACCAAAAACCCATCAGAGGTATGATCTAGGTTCAATATAAGGGATAGAAAATCAGGAGACAAAGAAAAAGAACCAAAGGTACATATACAAAAGTACAAAAACACACTAGCCAGTCAACCCAGAAATACCACTGGTGGCTTTTAAACTTATCTCAGCATTTTGAGAGGGGCTCAGTTTGTGATCTGACTCTCGCTAGCAGATGAGTTGGGACCATAAATCTGAGATACAGGACTAAGCATCTCCTAAAACATAAGAATACTCCAGCTAGCGTTTTGGTATAAAGACTTACGAATTCAGAAAGTTTGTTACAGACACACAATTACCTCAGGCTTAACCACAAGTCAGGGTTTGCTTCCATGTCACAGGAGGAGAAACAGATAGGTTCAGAGCTGCAGAACAGAAGGAGGCAACAGGTTCCCTGTCTGTTCAGGGAGCGTGCAAACATTCAGGATGTCTCTTTTAAAACCCATTAAATGGGCTGGCTGAGCCTGACTGCTTGAGGGCTGTTCAACCCCCTCCTGACTATTTTATTTTCACTTACAGACAACCCTCATGAAAGCACATATTTAAGATAACTATGCATAATACTGCAGAACTTCATAGGCTTTCTCAGTGTGACAAATAAGCCTTCATTTTGCCAAGTCACATTTTTTCCCTAGAACATCATGCTGCAGTTTCTCCTCCTATGCAGTTAGGCTGCTTAAATAAATAAATCTTGGACCCTCTAGCACAGGATTATTCATATTTCAATTGTTAGACTACTCATAACTGTTTTGTGCCTTCTGCACTCAATCCCTCAGCCTCTCTTCCTTACACACACACTTGTGTTCAGGATTATTAAGTGCCGGATGGAATTTATAGCCAGAGCAAAGCCCTGTTTGTCATCCAAGTTCTGCTACACTGGAATTAACTTAGTAGCACCTGCATACTGACTTATGAAGAAAAGCTGATTTCAGTTTAGGGCATACTAGAGCGCTTTTCACGATGTAACAGTGGAGTGAATCTCTTCCCCTGGAACGCAAATCACTGCTAAAGCTGTCCACATTTTTATGTCTAGTTTCTCTTGACTAAGTCTGACCCTTGGGTTTGCCTTCATTAGATGTCACACCGTTCAGCTAGCTTGGCCAAACAGACTAACAACCTTCAGTTCAGCTTCAGGCTGCGAGCCCTGCCTCAGCCCTGCCTCGTGAGCTCAGGCAGATAAAACTTTGGCAATTTAAAACGACACTGCCCCTCACCCTCTCAACACACTGCAGGTTACTGCCCTGGTGGCAGGAGTGGCAGGCATGGACAGGCGCTGATACCTTACTTGCCCTTGGCCACTGTCCTGGGCATTAACCAAACAGGGGATCAGCTCTTGGGTGCTGGCACAAGCTGCACCTCCAGCTATGAGGAAGGGCAGGCCGCCAGGCAGTCTGTCTTAAATTAAAATCTTAACTGCCATGTCTTAAATTCCCCAAGTTCAGGAGGCTTAAATTCCCCAAGTTCAGGAGTTAGAGCCCTCTGATCAATCCCATTACTTAAACATTTTAACCAGGAGTGTACAGGAGCACCAGAGAGCACCTGGGAGGCTTCTGAAGGCAGGACACAGTGCCATTACCAGATTTGAGCTGAGTGCTTCCTATGACAGGCAAAACTCTTGGCTAGAGCCTCACAGCACTCACACATGCTCCTTGAGCAGCCTGAACGGAGCATCTCTTGTTCTCTGGAAAACGCAGGCAGCTCTTCATCCCCAGCTCCACAATAGCTTACAGATCCACCGGAAAGAAATGCCATTTTTCTCACAGCACTTGGAGAAAAGTACATGCATGCTTTTGAGTGTCAGTGTGCCTCTGTGACACATCTGAGGGTTCAGAACCTCTGGTGGAGGCGACAATTCAAGAACCTCAGCACCTTTTACACCTTTTTGTGGTGGTGGTGGTGTTCACAGAGCTTATTATAACCAATCCAAGCCATAGCAGATCACAGATAATGGCATTCAAACTTCATACATCCTACAGTAACGTAATTGAAACCTTCTACTTCAGAGCAGGAAAGAACAGAGGAGAATTCACAAAGCTCAAGGAGAATCCATCATTTAGCATTTCTCTCTAAGGAAATACTAAGTTATAGATCCACTAGAAGGCAGCTGGACATAGATACACAGCCACACTGGAGAGGTTAACATTATGGTGTTACCCTGTCTTTGTGATGTGTCAGGGCTAGACCCTTTCGAAAGCAACTCGTCCCTCTCTGCTCAAGCACTCTATATCTCTTTTCTTCTTCTCGCAGCAGTTTCTGGAAAACTTTGGAGGTGTGATTTTAGCATGCAGCATTCAACTGTGTAAAGGCAGCTGGTCGGGAATTCTCCAGTTTTTAAACACAATCACATATAAAATATTGATGTTTATTTGGCTGCTATTTTTTTTAAAATTCTGTAAGAGGCAGGATGGTCCTGTGATCAACTCAATGCATTTGTGCTCCAAAAGTGTGGAACAAGTTATTATTTGTACCATAGCCTTCCTCATGAAATTGTGTTCAAAATGTTGGACGCATTCTTTGCATCTTGGGTTTCTGCAGCTGCCATAATTATTTCTACATCATTTTATCTTGTCTGGGAAATTCAGATTTTAAGTTCTTCAGAGCAGCCTTCTTTTTTTATGAGCTGCTGCTTATATTTTGCCTAGCACATCCATACAGACCTAGATGATTTGAATGTGGAATGACGGAAATAAATGAAAAAGATCATCAAGTCCAACCATCAACCAAACACCACCATGCCCACTAAACCGTGTCTCCAAGTGCCACGTCTACATGCTTTTTGAACACCTCCAGGGATGGTGACTCCACCACTTCCCTGGGCAGCCCCTTCCAAGGCTTGACCACTCTTTTAGTGAAGAAATTTTTTCCAATATCCAATCTAACCCTCTCCTGGTGCAACTTGAGGCCATTTCCTCTCATCCTATTGCTTGTTACCTGGGAGAAGAGACCAATGCCCATCTTGCTACAACCTCCTTTCAAGCAGTTGTAGAGAGTGCTAAGGTCTTCCCTGAGCCTCCTCCAGAGTGAACAACCCCAGTTCCCTCACCCACTCCCCATAATTCTTGTGGTCCAGACCCTTCACCAGCTTCATTGCCCTTCTCTGGACATGCTCCAGTGCTTCAATGTCCTCCTTGTAGTGAGGGGCTCAAACCTAAACACGAGATTCAAGGTGCAGCCTCAGCAGTAGCAAACATTTCAAAATTATCTGAGGTGACAGTTACTGACTTTGCATTGACAAAGCAGCCAGACCCATAACTCATAAACTGCAACTCATAAACCTTAGCAACTTCCACTTGCCCTTAGCCTGGTAGATCAAATAAAATGAAAACTACTCTATTTTAAAGGGAAAAGCAAAGCAAATGAGCAATGGGGATCAATTCCACTGAGATTACTTGGATACACAACAACTAGCCCTGAGCTAACTTTACTCCTTGCTGAGCCGTATCCGGCTCTGAAGCCAACTTGACAGCTGAAGTAAAGGCAAGTGAAAAAGCTATCCAAAGGGCAGGGAATCTGTCTCTTCCTATCTGGCAAAGAGATGGACCTTAAGTCTGCTTGGAAACCCTTATAAGCATGACAATGCCTTAGAGACAAAAATAGAGTTAAAACTGACCTCCCAAGTCATTCAGAAAATAAGCAATCTAGTGGCCTGAGGATATGAAAAATGTCCCTCTTTTTTCTAAAGCCAAAGAAGTAGTACGAAAGCAGTTTGTAAGTATGAAGAAGGTAACCAACCTTCTGGGCTGGCCATCTGAAGAGAGAGGCAGATGGCGACAGTCCAGCCTTGAGCTGCACCCTTCAACTACCCGGCAGGGCAGAGCAAAGACCTCTCACGAAGTATGAGATCGCCTCGTACGCGAAACACCTCACCGCTTGGATAATTTATATCAAAAAAATGCAAGGAACGGGAAGGCTGCTGCTCCGGCAGCCTCCCTTTGCGCAGGGCAGGGAAAACGTGAGGGGGGCCCGAACCGAGCGGGGCGGGCGCTGCCCTCAGCACCGGGAGGGGCGGGGCCCGGCC